TTATGTTAATGAGTGCTTCTGAAACTGAAATTTACTGAAAGTCCGTGATGAGGATAATTTGAAGCAAGATAAAATCTATGCAATTAATCTACTCATCATATGAGAGAACATAACAACACAAAAAAACATTTATTTGAGCTGTTAAGCATTTCAGGTTTCTTCTCTCTTTCAGGCAAACTTACTCATTTGTTTGAAATACGTTTAGAGTTTAGTTTCAAACAATATCTTGATGGTTACATATCTGGGATTTTCGGGATATTTTAGTTTATATCGAGAACACTTTTATCTTTTAATTACACTTTGTAAACTATTGGATAGGTGGTAGATTGTAACACTAGCTTACGCCACAATTTGAATTACTTATATTTATAGAAACGCTCTCTACTCTTTTTTGTTTATACATTTGCTGTTGCAATGTATTTGTTATGATTGCAAACTACGTATACATACATATAAAATTCGTAAGTATTAAAATCCTCGTGAAAGTTTTAAATATATAATATCTGAGTTTCTCATTCAGATAAATTCTGTTTTGATGAACGCTTCAGGTGTATGTGGTAGTCTGGCTTAGAGGTATAAACACCGAAATCAGTCAATTTCACATTTAAGTTCTTTACTGCTAAATGGTATATACGGGATGGAATATTTCTAAGCCATTATAAATGTACATATCTGCTGTCAAAGCAGTTCTGTTTCATGAAGAGCACAGTATCATTTGATAAACTGTAACCATGATGTGACGCTTAAGTTTGAATTATTGAGAAAAAGTGAAGTCAGGAGTAGAAATTCTTATCTCATATTTCATAATCCAGTTTTCCGAAATGTTTGAAATAAAAAACCTACCAAAACCGCACAGACTTGGTTTCCACAAGTTGTGTTCGCTAGTCAAGAAGTTAGTTATGTATTCATCTATGTAGGGAATAAAACAGTGTGGTATAAGCGTATTAGTTTTTTGTGATATATAATAAACATAGTAATATTTTATTAATTATTTTGCAGTATGCAAAACAGACGTCAGTAGGGATCACGCTTCATGTACGCAAATGAATGATTAAAATAAAATGGAAATGACTGACTAAAGAAAACTGATGAAACTTAATTAAAATAAGTTGATCAGTTAAGGCCTATTTCGGATAAATAGCTGCCTAACATGGCTTGTTGTCGAATTACTGACAACAGATAGGGACCATGAGTGTTTCTAACACGTCAGAAACCTTCTTTGTAGCTGTTTCATCTCCAAATGTAACCGAGATTTTGGGAGATGGATTTTTCATAGTCCATTGTTCAAAATGTCATTACATAACAGTCAGCATAAAAGGAACCGTCAAATCCCTCTATACCAAACAAGCAATAAATCATAAGGAGTGAATATTGAAAATACTGTAATTCTGTTATATTCTGCTCGAAATATTTACCTTTTACTCACGGGAGCAGATTAATTCAATAAGGATACAGTTTCAAATCTTGTAAAAACGTATATTTACCTGGTGAGACAGTACACCAATGAACTCCAAAGATTCATTTTAAGAGCATTCTGACTGGAAACATTTGAATCATTTATGTATTCGTAAGCACTTTCTTCTTTTCAGCCAATGATCACCTAGGATTTTTTCTCTGGAACTCCAGTCGACAACAACACCCCAGTCCTTCTAATATGTTTCGTGTAGCCTTCCCTAATAGCCATTTGAATTGAATTAGTTTTGATATCACATATTTACACTTATAATAACTAGCATCATTTTTGGGCAATCACATATCTTTCAGACTTTAACTATGTAATTCCATTATTTATTTTCTTTATTATTAGTGATATTTCACCTACCTCTGATATTGGCGTCGCGTCATTCCTATTGCATACCTTAGGTTTAGATTCGATGAACAAAGATTCAGTTATCAAACTCTCCCTCCATCAACTAATAAGACTTCTTAGAACTGTAGCTTTGTCCCACCGTGTTATGTGACTGTGTGTTAATGCAAGCAGTGCGATGGTTAAGCTTTTCTCCACACTGTTTATCTTCATGCAGTCAATCATTCGCCAGTTGGTTTAATTCTAATATTCGAGACTACTAGTCTGACCAACTTAGGTGAACTCAAAATTATCGCAAGGTGTTTTGTAGATAACTTTATTTTGTCTAATTCAATCAATAAGGTGCCTCAGTTTACAGAATTTGTAGGTTTGAATGTCAGCATGATTTCTGCCTAAGCAATGATCGTGAGTAGGGTTTCACATGTTCCATCATCATATATTAACAATATAATTTCCTCAAATTCATTCTTGTTCATGTTCCAGTCACCAACTGAAAGAATTAAGAAGATAATTCATAAGTACACAAGCGATGCATATAAGATGAAGAAATCAGTAAACGCAAAGGGAAGAAAAAATAAAAACATACTTCGTTTGGTAAATCTTTGTTTACAGTCATCAATAAGAGACGGTAATTGTTACTATCACATTAATAGTTGAACGAAGGAACACTGGATAAAAACAAAAATTCTATGTTACCTTGTTACGCAGGTCAATGAATTTGGCGTTAATTATTAGGAGTACATCATTCACTTTACAGCGAACTATTTTGATTACACGTAGTTTTGTCGCATTCATGGCCTTAATCATACTAACACACACTTGTACGATTTCATAAGCGTTGTGTTCACACCGATACTTCCGTACATTGTGTTTGATTGAGTGAATGGGATTCTGTGGTCGGCAATGACTACTCTAAATAATTAGTGCTATATTATAGGTAATTCTAATTATTAAACTTATAATCAGATGATGATACGCTCAATTAAATGGAAGCGAGGTGCAGGATATGCTTCAAATTTATATTCCATGTCAATAAAACTAAGCTATATCAATTTTTTGAAGAAGAAACAGTTGATTATGAGGTCTAAGAAGGAATTGAAACGTTTAAATTAATTGTAACACTTGAAGAAACCTATCAGTGACAAATGTCAGTCTCGACTCACAACAGTATCACGCAAGTGTCTATGACACTCTTATAATCAAATACTAAATAAAAAGTTATAACAAATTGTTTCAGTTTATTCATCTTGTTTATCATACTTCATATTTCTGAAGTCCGCATTATGGTTTTCAAGCGAGGAGATCTATGGTTCACCGTCAGGAAACTACGCTGGCAAATTCGAGTTTCCGTAGAAACTTCAAAGGGTATAAGTATAAAACTTGGGCACTGTGGTAGAGTATAACTCCATAATGGATAAGATTTTATTTTGATAAATCACACAGTGTTGTACAGTTATATTAACTGGTGACGTTTCGAGTACAAACTATTGCTCATATTCATATCAAGTTCAAAGGGACATTTACTCATTTGACTAACGCAACAAGAGTTGAAAAGCGATGTAGTTTATAATATTTCTATGGTCACAGGCAAATGTCAGGTAACAGTTAGGAAAATTTAGAGGTATGCAACAACATGCTTTGAAACGAAGTACCATCAAGTGATACAACAACAGCTGTCTACCACAGTATATCTGTGGTAAAGTCTTTTTGTTTCCGTATCACTGATATTGTTATAATTCACTTTCACATGTCTATTTGTGACTTATTAAAACAGGCAATCCTTCATGATATAAAAAACGTGCACCGAGATTTTATTTATTCGCAGTAATCTTACCATTTGTACAAAGATCGCATCACAAATAAACAAAAAAGGTATTTTTACACTCGTCTTCTATCAATAAATCTCAATGAGGTGTCAGTTCAATATGTTAATGTTTAGTTTACACTACTCTTAAGAAACACTGAATTAGGTATGGCAAAAACACTTATGCTTCATAGTTGACTTTTGGACAGCTCCAATCTTTTAAAGATTTAATGTTTAAATCCTCTGTTCGATAGTCAAACAGTCAGTTAGTTATTCGCTTATATTCGTTTCGTGTAAGTGTAATAGTATTTGTGATGTATTTTCATCAGTAATTATTCTGTTGTTCTCAGTCTGTTCTTCGATGTTATTTTTATAACTGATTATCATAGTTTCTAATACTTTAGTGGAGATTACAAGTTTTCAGTTCTTACTAATAATGAGGGAATTCGTGGTGTGGAAGTCTAGCACATCATTTAATTAGCTACAAAGAGACTAGGCGTATTACTAGAAGCATTTTCAACAGAATGTAGACCTTCATCAGCATCAGCTCCTATAACTCAGTACTAAAGATCACACGGCTGCTAGAAAACAATAAGAAACATTGTCAGGCAGCGAAACAGCCAGCAAACTACTGCCTCAGAAATAGGGCAGTGGAAATGGAGATACACTGGATATGTGATGAGGAGAAACATAAGTGACATCAAACTCCAGCCTCTTCAGGCTAATCTGAATAGAATGTAACGGGTGGGGGATCTAACATAACATGGATGAGGTCATATGAAAACCTGTTGGTGGTTTGGGGGTCAATTAAAATGACTGCACAGAACCGTGTGCAATAGATATGCCACTGGAGACCTATATTTCATTCGAAATGTAATAAATGACTTTATAATAATGACAAAAAGGACTAATTTCACTCGTGAGTTTAATGTGACGGTGATCTAAATGGTGCAGAAATCAAGGCATTTTACGATAGCTCAAATACATTCAAATACTTTTTTTTCTTCGCGTTCCCCAGTGGAACATAGGGCTTCAAGCTAGTAGCTTGAAGTTTCTGTAGCAGTGTTTTAATTTTTACAGGATGGGGTTGCTAGCCTCATGCCCAACCTTTCCTCTTTATCAGCATTATTTCTGGCTTAGCGAGGTAAAGGAGTGAGTCGGCCGGGGATCGAACCCCGGACCATGTGCATTGTCGGCGAGCGTCCTAACCGCTACGCCACCGACACACTTTCAAATACGCTAAATACAAACAAAAACAGATTCTCATAGGTCTATAACCAGAATGATTATTCAAGCTGTTTGTTGTGGTTATTATTCCCACAAATCTGTATAATAATTACGTAACGTAGTACTAAATTAAAACTCTTTCTTTTCACTATAAGGTCAATAATGAAGGATAAGCAAATTGCTTCTGCTACTTTGTCTGCGTATCAAATATCAAACCTAATCAAAGTAATCCTGATAAATACGTCATTGATTGAATTAAAGTTTCTTTTAGTCTCCAGTATTTTCTTAATTGAAATGGTTATTGTCACAGTACTACTATGTTTCTTGTAAGTTTCAATTTGAGAGCTACTAATAAAATCTGTTTAGTTATAACTTCAAGAAGGTAATGGAAGATAAACCCTGGCTACCATATGTTCTGATGTAAGTGAGCATTATTTATGTAACGAGAATGTAACCAAAGAAGTTTGCATATAAAAATTCAATGGTTTAATTGGTAATTGGTGTTTTCACTGCTGGCTAATGAAAGCTAATAACACGTATTATTTCTGACGCTGTGACGAATAAACTCATATCATATTTATGAATTGGGGAGAATGTTTCAATTAATTATATGTGCTAAACTTGGATATTGTCGTGGTATATAGATCCATATTAATTCGTTTAATGGATATTTCACAGAGTGAAAAACAGTATTATATACTGCCTGACGTTTCAGACACTATTTAATGTTCGTGGTCATATCAACTGTAACCCAAGTGCTTTGAAACTCAAATTATATAGTTCTTATTCCTCCTTTCCATTTGTCATATGGTAATTAGAGCTTTTCAGATGTACCAGAACAGGGTCGGATAGTGCCTATTACATGCATTCTCAGCTCACTGGATAAATTAGGCTTCGGTTATGAGTCTTTCAACTCTGAGTTATTAAATAAGATTCTAAAAGTGACATCTTTTCCCTTCTTATTTGCTGTTATATGTAATTGCATATAATGCTATGATTAAGCTCTTTTGGATCTACTCATCTAGGTTTTGATAAGTCTTTATGTTCTGCTAAGCTAATTGATACTGGCCTAATTCTCTGACCCGTGTTCTCGACCGACAATAAATAAATGTTATCAAATAAATTAAATTATTTTATCTAAAGGGGACAACAAGATCAGCCAGTATAACCTGTTTCCAAATTAGTTTAAACGATTTCATCTATCTTTTGTTGCCGTCTTATTAAATATCCCATGTAGGTTTTCAGAGATCCTGTCTTTGTATGGTGGCACTAATGATGTTTTAAATCTCCGCGTGTTGATGTTATTATCTTTGTTTTATTGTTGGTCAGTCGTTGCTTTCTTATTACTCAGATTATTTTTATTCATATAATTTCATGGTACACTCTGATAAATTTATCAGGGTAATTATTAGCTGTTAAAGTTCCCCTTTCGCTTCTTACCTCTTGAAGTGGATTTTCTTTGGTTCTTTTTGGCTGGTGTCATCCATTATTTAAACATTTGACTAATTCTATGTTTACTGAATTGGATTAGGATGAGCTGAAATGAAAATATCGATTTGAATGTGTGTATGTTTTCGTAAGTAGTAGTGTTTGGCTTCCGACAACGCTCCTCTCCAAGACTGCTACTGCAACTACCAAGATTTAACCACCTTTGCTGATTATAGTGTGATTGATCCTACAAACACCTTATAAGGTAATAATATTTAAATTTGTTTGATGTTACATGATAAAAAGCAAAATTTTTCAAGGGAAGTTTACTTCACTTGTTATTTTCATTTTAAGCGGTTGTTCCGTTCTGTCCTCGCTTTTAATAGCGTTTTTTCGTGGTTTGCGAGCGAGATTTCCAGCTAATTACATAATATTGTGTCTTAACGTAAGTCAAGTTATTGATATACTTTTCTTGTGTTTAAGCAAAAATCACCTTTGAAGTAAAAGGTGCTCATTGTGCCTCAAATATGAGCACAGAAGAATAAGGATGTCTGTGCAATAATTCCACTTTGCCAACACCTTCAGTTTGTATTATCCCACACAATCTTAAGTATAACTATCCTTCACAAATCGCATATAAATATACGATCACTAATGCAATACAGTATCAGTTCCTACTTAAAATTACTGGACAGTTGAAAGTCATCCATCTTTGTATGAAGTGCTTATTGCATTAGAATGAAGAATGTTAATGCCAATGATATAATTATGTTAGCCATTAGCTGGTGCCAGCAGAATAAATTGGTACTCTGGTTTCCTTTTATATGGCACTGTTTGGCTGAATGTAACTGCTTTCTAAGAAAATACTCATGTTATTGCTGAGACTCGAGCACATTCCCATCCTTTCGAACGCCACTAGATCACTGGGTGACAAGAACAATCATTTGTGCAGTGTGTACGTCCAACACTGTGTTTATCTCAAGACTTCCTTTAGGTGGCCATACTAGATGTCAATATGTCTACAGAGACTGGGCATTTAAATCCTATGTGATAAAATAGAGTGCAACTGAAAGTGGCTTCAGTAAATCAATTTGTGAAGTGAAATCAGTGAGTGAACTTCACCAGCTATTCATCTCGATTATCAACTTCAGTGCCAGCACACTTTTCTGGATACACATCCACGTATAATTATCCATATAAATTAATACAGAATTCATAAAGGAACAGTGTTATACAATGATAAGCTCTACAAACTAACATCCAAAAGATAATGGTTAAATGACAGATAATAACACGTAAATAAACTGAATTTTAGGTATATTACCACAAGAAGCACCCTATAGAAACCCAAGTGGCATAATAAGCCTATGCCTTGAAGTTGCTTTATTATTGTCAAGAATGCAAATACTTTGAAAATTCTTAAGACACACTTCTTGACTTCGTACAACTTGTTCAGGACTTTGTTTCTAAAATCCGATCAAAACCAGTGAGTTGTTCATTATTATTAAGGATGAGATTCTAGGTAAACGTTTCATCTTTTTGCTAACTATAGACACTGCTACTTTGTTTCGCATTCATACCGCCCATACTGAGGATTGAAATCACATATATTTTGGTGTCTTATTTCATTTCGGGATTGATCCTATACGCCAGTATACTTTTGGGAACGCGAATCAAGAAGAAGTTTTTCTACCGTTGGTTTGTGTATTTACTAATTAGTTGGTTTGCGGCATCATGTATTGCCTCAGCTACTTTATACTTTTTGCACTTAGAAGAGGTAAGTGTACGTTGTAGTCATATCTTACAATCGCTAACTGATGATATATATTCAAATGGTTATCCTTATTATTGATTCCTTATCTAGGTGAGATTTTGAATGATGTTTAGGTCAAATTAGTCACTGATGCGAATAACTAGTGGAACATTTATCCCCAATAACCCCTGTAACAGTGGGGATATTTATTATTGATTAATAATATACAACTCTTAGAATATTTAATAATTTACCTTGGTTATGATTAATATACGTGAATGAAATATTCACTATGTTAAAATCTGAAAATATCACTTATTTCTTCACACGTAGACTCCGTATTAGGTAAAGCCTACTTCAATTTAGAGTTGAAAAATGAGCAGGGTGAGGTTGATATGGTAAAGCTGAAAATAAAATGTAAACAAGATAGTTGTTTACATAAGAGTATCTATAGAAGGCCACCATAATCTCACGAGTACTTAGACTTTGAATCACTCGATTCAAGATGCTTAAGACCAAGTTTAGTTGATTTTTTATATGATCGAGGTAGATGCCGCACTGACAAAGTAGCAGGCTCAAATGATGAAATGAAACATATAGTGATGGTATTAATGGTGAACAAGTACTCACCAGATGATTTTTGAAAATGTATAAAAACCCATAAGAATAATGAGACTAGTAGTGTAAATAATAAGGAATTCAGAGCCTTGGTAGTATCCTCATATGAGAAGGGAACAATAGAGACCCTACCTAGATTTCTTAATTATGCTGAATTAAGTGTGGCACTTAAACCAAGCAGAAGATAGAAATTTAGCTAAGGCCAGATTGACTAATCTTACCAAGTCACTGCAACCCATTCACTCCCATGTAATCACACAATAGGATAGGATTGAGGAAAAACATTAGAAATGGACATCACGAGGTGGTGACACAGGTTAATCACACAATCTATTTTCGCTTAATCATTAACAAATATGAGCAACTGGAACGGCTCGAGGCCCCGATCAGATAAATGGAAAAAAGCGATGAAAAACAGAGGAGAGGGAAACAATATAAAGCTATCTAGTAACTCGTACGAGTACAATGATATTCTTACTAGCAATAATATTTTTCCAAATTGTCATCCAGTTGTTACAACTGTGTCATTGTGTGTTTTATATTAAACAAACTCATCTGATTAGAAATTTTAATTTACTTACACCACTTAGCTCACTAAGCAACTACTCTTCATAGAATCACTTTTGAATTCAAAATTATCAAAAATTACAGATGCGAATGTCACCATCAGAAAAATAAATGTTTCTTTATCTGTTGACTGAAAACTTATCATTGTATCGGAGATTTGAAATCATTCTTGACAGGTACTTCCTAGTCAGTTAATTATGACTTGAATTCCATGTCAATGTGCGCTTAGTGTTTACATTCCTAAAACTTTCCAGTGAATTAGAAGGACACTAAAATATAGCGTTGAAGGTGCCAAAATAATGCATGAAATAACAAAGTATAGTAAACATTGCACTAGAAATCTATCAGCGACACAACTTTGTTTTATATTATGATTCTGTTTTAGGTGCTGTGTCACTTCTTGGGAGCCGTATTTATTCCGTTTCTTATACCGGTAGGTGAACATACCGTTTTCATAACTTTCGTTGAAATATTTACTTTTTGGCTTAAAGTTTCACAAAAGGTTTGTCTCGATTAGGCTTCACCTAACTAATAATAGCTGTTCTAATTAAACGTCATCTCAGTAAACTTAGGGAAGAACTCCACATTCACTGCTGTGTCGCAATGAAGATAGTAATGTTTAATGCAAGTTAAATGCTTTGTGATTATCCCTTAGGATATATCGATATGAACAAACCAAGCACTTGCGTCATCAGTCAACCGTGATTCCACTGTTAGTAGTGATAAATGTTGTTCAAGAAATTATCCTTTAGCACTTCCTAGCAGTGGAATCCAGAATGCGTATTTCTTCTTATTCGGCCTTTTTGACTCTCACTACCAGGTGACTGTCTTCAGTGATGCTAGTGATTAGGATAGCTGGTTCACATGATTATTCGAAATATATCCTTGTTAGAACTCTTTCTTCAAAGCTAGTGTTGGAAAAGCAAGAGAGGCATTTACTAAACACAAATCAGGGTGGATACCTGCAGCCATATACAGAGGGAACAAGACCTTAAATTTTCAACACATGTCAAATCAAAGCTACTATGTGTCAGAGACTTGGCACACGTCACTGGAAGGAGTTCCAATGGACTGGAGACTTTCCTCAGTAGTTGCTTTCGATCCATACAGTGGATTACATGGTTGTCTGTGATGGAAAAGCAACAAGTACTTCTGACAGACAACCAACATATAACTCAGTGCCCAATGCATTATTATTATTATTGTTCCCTTGGGTTCCTAGTGGAACATAGGGCTTCAACTGCACGTCTCCACTTGCTTCTGTCTTCTGCTGTTCTTTTCACTTGCGTCCATGTTATTCCATACTGTTTCACTTCCTCTTCACACGATCTCCTCCATGTCACCCTTGGACGTCCCACTCGCCGCTTCCCTTTCGGGTTCCACTCGAGGGCTTGACGCGCGATGTCACCCAACGGCCTCCTGAGCGAGTGTCCAATCCATCTCCACTTCCTCCTGCATATTTGTTGGGCGATTGGTTCCTGTTTCGTTTGTTCCCATAGCTTCTTGTTGGTGATTCTTTCCGGCCATCTGATCTTCAGTATAGAACGAAGACAGTTGTTGATAAAGGTCTGCAACAGGCTGTTGGAAATATTCTTGGTGACCCGCCAAGTTTCTGATCTGTATAGAAGAACTGACTTGACGTTTGTATTGAAAATCCGTATTTTGTTGTTGGTGCTGAGTGACGAAGATTTCCAGATTGGTTTCAGGTTGATGAATGTGTTTCTCGCCTTCCCGATTCTCGATTTGACATCCTCGTCGGTTCCTCCTGTGGTTGAGACAATGCTCCCTAGATAAGTGAAAGAAGTAACCTCTTTCAAATCCCTCCCGTTGATGGTGATTGGCACTGGATGTTGCTGCTGTTGTTGGTTGGTTATTTTCATGACCTCCGTCTTGTCTATGTTCACCTGGAGTCCTGTCTTTGCTGCTTCTTCGACCAGTTTGTCGGTTTTTGCTTGTAAGTCTTCGATTTTGTGTGACATCAGACATAAATCATCCACGCGCGAAATCCAGGTCTTCTAGGTTCTTCACGTCAGTCCAGGATATCCCTGTCTTCTCGTTTCCCACTGTCTGACGCATAATCCAGTCCACCACAATTAGGAATATCATTGGTGACAATAAGCATCCTTGTCTGACTCCTGTGTTTACTCCAAACGCCTCGCTGAGTTTTCCGTTGTGGACCACTTGACATGTGCCGTTGTCGTACAGCTGTTGAATAAGGTTGATGAATATTTGGGGTACGCCGTAGTACTCGAGTAGTTTCCAAATTACTTCGCGGTCAACGCTGTCGAAAGCCTTCTCAAAGTCTATGAAGTTGAGGTAGAGATTTGATTGCCATTCCATGCTTTGTTCGATGACAATGTGTAGAGTTGCAATTTGGTCAGAACATGATTTGCCTTTCCTGAATCCAGCTTGTTCTGGTCGGAGTTCTGTATCCAGTGCGTCCTTTATTCTCTCCAGGATGATGCGACTCAGGATTTTACTTGGCGTCGACAGGAGCATGATTCCTCGCCAGTTCTTGCAGAGTCCTAAGTCCCCCTTCTTTGGTAGTTTCACTACATAACTTTTCTTCCAGTCAGTAGGCACCTTTCCCTCTTTCCAGATCTTTTGCAATAATGGAGTCAGCATATCTGCCGTCGTTTCTGGGTCCGCTTTCAGTGCTTCCGGGGGTATTCCATCTGGTCCAGCTGCTTTTCCAGCTTTCAGAAGCTTGATTGCATTCATGACTTCAGCTTTCGTTGGAGGATCGGTGTCAACTTGCAGTTGTGTACGTGCTGTTGTTGGTATTACTGGACGGGTTGTAGGTGGTGGTCGATTCAAGAGTCCTTTGAAGTGGTCCGCCCATTGTTTAATCTGTCTTTCTTCTTTGGTAATTGGGTTCCCTTGGCTGTCTTTTATAGGTTTCACTTGTGTTGATCTCTTCCCGGATAGAGACTTGGTTATCTGATATAATGTCCTCAGGTCCCTTTTGCCTGCTGCCTTCTCAGCTTCAGTAGCCAGGTTGTCGTAGAATTGTCTTTTGTCCTTCCTGGCACTCTTCTTCACTTCTTTGTCCAGTGCTGTGTAAGTTGAGTTCAGCGTCTCTTTCTCTTGTCCATCTTTGCATTGAATCATTTTTTCTTTCACCTTTCTCCTCTCCTCTATTAGTTTCCAAGTGTCTGTTGAGAGCCATTCCTTGCCTTGTTTCTTCTTTCTTCCTAAAACCGTTGAGCACGCTTCGTTGAAAATCACCTTCAGAGAGTTCCAATGGTCTTCCACGGATGATTCCTCAGTGGTGCCACATAGTGTTTCCTGCTTTGCTCTGACAGTTGCAGAGAAAGTGTCCTTTGTGGTTGTGTCTTTCAGCTTTTGCGTGTTGAACTTGCATTGTGGCCTATCCCCAGGTATCCTCGAGGCTTTCAGCTTCACCTTGAAAGTCCCTTGTACTAGATAGTGGTCTGAACCCATATCTGCTCCTCTCCTCGATCTTGTGTCCAGTAGGCTCCGTCTCCACTCCCTTGAGATTGAAATGAAGTCTATCTGGTTTTTGGTGTGTCCATCTGGTGAAATCCATGTTGCCTTGTGTATATCCCTGTGTTTGAACACACTGCCACCAATCACCAAATCATTGAAGGCGCAGAAGTCTGAGAAGAGTTCGCCATTTTCGTTCATTTCACCGAGGGCCTCACGACCCATGGTGAGTTCTCTTCCTGTATTGTCTCCTCCCAGTTTCGCATTCATGTCGCCCATCAGGATTTTGATATCGCTCTTTGGGACGTTGTCCATTACTGTTTGTAGTTGACTGTAGAAATCCTCCTTCTTCTCATGTTCTGAGGCGTTTGTAGGCGCGTAGCACTGAATGATTGTAACCTTTTTTCCTTTTGAGTTGAACCTGGCTGTCATTATCCTGGAGGAGATTGGTTCCCACTGCATGAGAGCTTTAGCCGCTGTTGGTGACATCATGATGGCTACTCCCTCGGTGTGCTCATGATTGTCCTCTGGGTGACCGGAGTAGATTATTGTCTCTCCAGTTGATAGTTGGCTCCTTCCACATCCGTTCCATCTGCTCTCGCAGATTCCCAACACTTCGATTTTATATCTCCTCATTTCTGCGGCTACCTGAGCAGCCTTCCCAGCTTCGTACATTGTACGAACATTCCACGTCCCCATCCTTATTTTTGCTTTCATCGACGCACAAATATATTCAAAATTCTAAAATTACAAATGGTGCCCAATGCATACGAAGAAATAAATGGAGATAGATTACGCATAATTTGGGGAAACCATCGACTGATATCATAGGCCATTACGTCTAGTGGAGACCCCTGAATGGGAAACATTGATCCAGGAATCCTGGGAAAACTTAGCCAAGACCATATGACTATGAAATGAAAATTTGTCAGCAATAGTGAAGTAAGCTGCATGAGATATCAGAAAACTGAAAGCAGTTGAGATGTACCACTGAAGCCCTGCGTTCCACTCGGAATGCAAAGATAGAATGGTATAATGTTAGAATGCCTTTATAATTAATTAAGTTCAGCTTAAGTTTCATTACAATTCTACTCAGAGTGCATTTTAAGTTTTTCTAAACAAAATATTGTTTATGATTAAATTTCACTCCTATTTTTAGCTCCTTCTGCGTATTGGACAGTTGTTAGTGTCGGAACAGTCAGAACGCATGTTTGGTTCTCATTTTATATTAGGTTCACTTGCATTAACATTCATATTCCTTCTGTTGTTTTTTTCAGTCGCTATTCATTTTTGTTCTTGCAAAAAGTCTTCTGATAAAAAGGATTCACTTTTCTCACTTTTATTATCGGATATTATTCCACTTTTTTAACCACATTTCCACATTCATCTAGTTGTCAAGTGAATCATTTAAAAGTTGTATCGATATTTACAAACGTAACAATTATACACCGAGAATTTTGATGCTTCTGAAAATAATTCCTGTAGCTAAACATAACAGTCGATTTGTGTTCTTGATTTCTATCAGAATAATGTGCACCAATCTTCTAGTCTGAAACATATATCCCATCACTCTGTGAAATCTTAATTTAATTACATCATTTAGCATTGCATACACTTCAGACAGGAAGATAAGTCCGTTGATGTTATACATGAAGATTTTCGGATATGAGTTGACGAATGTGTTATCCTTTAGTAGATGATCTTTCTCACAACTTCCTTTAACACTGGTCAGTTTCTACGTGCTGATTCCTATAATTTGTGAAACATTGTTTTCTTCAATATGTAGGGTAATCATATTTTCAAGGATTGATGTGTGCCAGTCTCTCTAATAACAATATGAGCAGTAGGAGAACTTGACAGCTGTTCAGTTTGCTGACGACTAATGTTTAGCATCTTGTCATTGCTATATGTCTAAATGTTGAGAACTGTCTTACTTCTTCAGTATTCTGGGGAATTCAAAGAATTAATTTCAAAATTCTTTCACTCTCTTGACTGTTAAAGTTGCAAAATAGGTATTTTGATTAGCTTTCTGGAATTCATTATGAGTAAGCAATCATATTAATGAGTATCTTGAGACTCCTTCTCTGAATGTTAAGGAACAGAGAAAAAAATTGATAGACCACCTTGAACAAACAACAGATATGTGATCACTGTAGATTGTCAACCATTCGTATTGTGCTAATAGCAATGAGGAAAGAAGTGCAACAACCCATCACCTCTTATCATCTTCCAGAGGTATTTGCAGAGCTACTTCAGGTCATCACATTCACAGGTGTGTCAAACATAGCAAGGTGAATACGGCAGTAATTTTACTTAAGGACAGTTTTCGAAAATTTTTAGTGATTAAGTTGTATGATAGGTACAAGTGACTAAACTTTGTATCCGAAAGCTACTCAGTGAATCCATTAGTAATTTCTATTCTGATAGAGTTGTCTACTGGTTCAAGCTGAATACCAGTAGTGTTGCGTTATGTGAATGACTTACTTTAAAGAGCTAAATTAGCTTGAAAACACACCACAAATCTGGTTAAGCGTTTGATAAACTTTTGTGGAAAATTTCATTGGAAATTCCACCTTAGTTCAACTGGAAACTTATAACCTTCACAGAAGATAATTGATCTATCTGAAAACTTGAATGAGACATATTATTAATCATTTTATGAAGATGATAATTAACAATTAAAAAAAAACTTTTCACTGTATAACATCTATTTTGCCTAGGAGTCAGTTGCCAGGAAATGTGATCCATATCTTAGGGATTGACAATAATGCTCTTACTGAGATAAGTGGTTTTGAAAAAGATAATTTGTATTATTCACTTTGCAGACGTTGTGGCTCTTTGTTTTAACCAGAAATAAGTCATAAAAATAATGGGATACGATGTAGATATAAACATAATGGTTACTTTCAGGCATTAGTACATTGTAAAATAAGCCAGATAAGATGTAGTTTTCTGTCTGTAAATGCCTTTTTATGTTAAACCGCACAGATTCCTCTAACTGACAACACAATATTCCAATCACAATTTGATAGCTTCACATAACACCATAAATATCGGTCTGTAAATTTAGGAAGTTAAAGAGGATATACAAACTGCCTAGAAGATTGGTAGACAGACTAACCAAGAGAGCACTTTAAACAACAAATCTTTACAGTAAATCACATAAGATCAGTAAACACATTCACTTTGTATTTCATAAAATTACGACGAGCTTTAGTTTAAGCATAAAATTCCCTTTAGTAAAGTACCAGACATATTTAATGGTATTTTACCATCTCACTTCATGTCGAAATTTGGTCTTTAAACCTTTCCATCAATTCGAAGTTACTTAAGAATGCTGCTTTAATGATTGATCCAATGTGGTGCCATACATGTCTACATGTGTGTCAGCCGTTACATTCAATCAGTTGTCAAACGTGCATCATACCAATGAGATTTTAACCAATATAGAAGACGAACCAATCTATGATTCATTCTAAATCCTGTGTAGATCTAGTCAATCATTGTTTTTACTGTGTATGAAAATGTGAATTTGCGAAGATTTAGAGTACACGCACTTCGTCCGGAACAGGCCGGATTCAGGAGGAACAAGTCATGCATTGACCAAATCGCCACCCTACGGATTATCACTGAACAAAGTTTGGTATGGCAGTCACCTCTCTATCTCAACTTCATCGATTTTGAGAAAGCCTTCGACAGAGTCGATCGAGAGGTGATTTGGCAACTACTTCGCTACTACGGGGTGCCGCCGACAATTATACATCTCATCCAACAGCTGTATGACAACGCTGCATGCCAAGTAATCCACAACGGGAGGCTCACGGAATCCTTCGAAGTGAGGACGGGAGTGAGACAAGGCTGTCTACTGTCACCAATGATCTTCCTGATTGCAGTTGATTGGATAATGCGGCAGACAACGGCAACCAACGAGGGAACAGGCATAAAATGGACCGACACAAAAGCCTTGGAGGATTTGGATTTCGCCGATGATATATGTCTGATTTCCCACAAACTGGAAGATATGCAAGTGAAAAGCAACAAATTGGCAGAAGAAGCAGCAAAGATAGGACTTCAAGTGAACATAGACAAAACAGAGGTAATGAAGATTCCTGGCCAACATCAACAGCAACAACCGACAACAATCAGCATAAATGGGAGGAACCTGAAGGAAACAACTTCTTTCACCTACCTGGGAAGCATCGTCTCAACTACAGGAGGAACTGACGAGGATATCAAAGCCAGAATCGGAAAAGCAAGACAAGTTTTCATTTCTCTCAAGTCTATGTGGAGGTCAACAGCATTCAGCGTCAAAAATAAGATCCGTATTTTCAACTCCAATGTGAAGTCAGTACTACTATACGGATCAGAGACTTGGCGTGTCACAAAGAGCAGCTCAAACAAGCTACAGACCTTCATTAACAAATGCCTTCGCTCAATCCTCAAGATCAAATGGCCGGAGAGGATCAGCAACAAAGATCTCTGGGAGCGAACCAACACAGCAGGAACCGATTGTGAAACAAATAGGCAGGAAGAAATGGAGATGGATTGGACACACTCTGAGGAAACCAGCAAGTGACATCACTAGACAAGCCCTCGAGTGGAACCCGAAAGGGAAGCGACGAGTTGGTCGTCCAAGGGTGACCTGGAGGAGATCATGTGAAGAGGAATTGAAAGCGTGTGGGCAGACTTGGAGCCAGGTGAAAACTACAGCAGAGAACCGAACGCAATGGAGACGCATGGCTGAAGCCCTATGTTCCTCTAGGAATTAAAAGAAATAATAATAATACTTCCAATCCTGTTAGTTGTCATGACATGTCATGTTAGTTGTAAAGCGGTTGTAAAGGAACTACGAAATGATATCATCTCGCGAAATTTGTCTTCTTAATGCCTTATTCAAATTTATCAAAGGGACTAATTGTTTTAATAGTTTAATACATTGTTTTTCAGTAACGTGATTGTATTCTGTGGTCACTAATGTCTGCTTTTATATGATACGAAGGCTGGAGTACTTTTCTTGGTAAATTTAATCGAGAAAGTTATGATCCGATGATGACATTTCGAATGAATCAGAAGAATGATGTGGTGTCTACATATAATCTAAACTCAATGCTTTTAAAAATTAATCTATGTCAATCATTTCTGAATGATAATCAATGATATAAGAAACCAGAGCAGTAACTCCAGCTGGCAAAACAACTCAGCATACGTAAGTATGGGTTAAGTAGACTTTCGTGTATCCAAAACCTTACCACCAAGTGGAAACAATGTACGTAGGTATCTATAATTAAAGAGAGAATAAAATATGCCAATGGCTGTGCATCATCAGAACAAGTAGTCAGTGATATGTGGAAATCGTTTTGGATAAAACCTTCACTAATTACAACTGAAGACAAAAACTGAATTTTGGTGTAAAACTTACTTTAGCGAAAATGCTACAGGCTTATGTGGATTAAATTTGTGTTTGAGATGCGACAACCTTTATTTACAAATCTTTCCCTTTAAGTGAAATCACACATATGTAGTAGAAGTATGAAACCAACAAATTCTGCTACTTGAATAAATGCCAACAGTAATGCCTGACGAAGAGAGATTGTTATTAGCTTTTCAAATTACCCTTATAACGGACTGAATTGAGTTTATCTGTACATACAATAATAGTGAAGCTTCTTTTCCAATAATCATTCTAACTGCTTGTAAAGCTAAAGATGTTCAAATGATTCAATAATTAATTTTGTACAGTGAAAAATACAACGAAGGCATTAATATCCTTATAAAAGTTTTGACAGGAATTCACTTCGACAATAATGCCAAAATTAAGTCAGGAATAAAATATGATGTAACACACAACATTTTCATATCCGCTTGATGACGTAAGTGGTAGATGGGAAACGTTTTAGCCAGCCAGTACTACTTGGTATCTAGATACGAGTGATCATACACCAGGCTACTTTTCTCTCTTTTTCAAGAATTTACTAAATAGCATTCACAAATTGATTCATATTAAAAAGCATTATAAATTTAAACCACTTACTTAGATAATACCACAATGAAATAACTGTCCAGTGGAAAACAGGTGTTAGTCAAAGATTTGGATTATTTTTGAGGCGATGAAGACAGAATAATTCAAACAGAGAATCAATATTTTGGGAATATTTAGTGAATCGTGAATTTTATACACAATAATAGGCTAAAATCTTGACAAGCAAAACAAGTGGCAATGTGAGGAGTTCATCCGAAATTAGTGATTTCAATGTAACATACGCTGCGTGGTTGAAATAAAAAAACCAGTCAACTAGATCACTCAACTACTGCACACGTTGGTGTCATCCGTCCTCAAAATGACAAAATAAGTTTAGTTTTCATAAACTTTGAAGTCTTAAAAGGGATGAGGCTATCGTTTTGTGTAGTGGGGTTGCTAGCCTTACAGCCAGTCCTCTCTCTTTTCTGAACTTGTGACCGGGTAACGAATCGAGCGAGTTTAAAGCCTTATCTATTGTGCCACTTGAAAATGACTCGCTGATAATCTGAAGAG